AGTAGTTTAAGCGATCACCTCGCCGCTTCCTACAGTGCCGAGTATTGTGGGTTCGATCTCCACATGGGTCAACACTTTGTATGATCCACAAATTGCTGTTCTAAGTGTAGTAAAGTCCCTCGCGACATAGGATATATTCCTAGTGCGGGAGTTTTCTTTTTAACCGACTTCAAAAACACAAAAGAGGAGATTATCAATTGGCTGTATATTTTTTTTAAAACACTGCCGGGTTCACAAACCGGCACCGATTTCAGTCCCAGGATTCGGTGAGATTGATGCAAGTACAGTATCATGTGGTGCAGTATAGCACAGTGTGGTTTTAGTAGGTTTAATTCGACACATGGCCCCACAGCAAATCCGGTGGTTTAATGGCTCGTGGTAGTTATCACAAGCAGAAAAAAGTATATCTTTTAGTATACGTAACAATATAACAAAGGCTCAAAGCCTTTTTTTTTTTACGTGTGGAAATCCCCTCGGACCGTCACCCCGCCGGGGCTCTCGTTCGGCGGGGCGGTGTGTCGGACTCGAACCGACTAAAACCACACGGTGTGCCCTCTTTGCGCTTCCAGTTTAGGAGGGGTCCAGGTAGTTATCGCCTTCTGGACCCCTCCCAGCGCCGGACCGCTCCTGTTGCGGGCTCCGTCTCTGATCTTTCCTCTCTTTAGGCGACGTCCGGCACACGCGGACGCCGCCCCCTCGCGGCTGGCCAACTAATGCGGGTGGAGGGAAGAACCCATCCCGTCCACCCGCGGCCACACTCAGGGCGGCATGAGGCGCAGGTAAGCGCGCCTCCGCCGCCCGGTTCGCCGGCGGCGGATCAGGTCCGAGTGGAGGTCGTCCTCCCGGGCCTTCTCCGCCGCCTCCTTCTGCGAGATTACCTCCTCGCAGAAGGTTGCGACCGCGGTAAAACAACCGTCGCTACCGGCCATGGAGCGAATTACGGCCGGTAGCGAGAGATCTGCTCCGATGACTGCAGTGAGGGCCCGGCGCTGCGTCGCCCATGCGGGGCAAACCGCTAGCGTGTGCTGGGCCGAATCCTCACTGCAGTCGCAGTGGTGGCAGGCGGGACTCGATTCCCTCCTAGCGACCGAGTACAGGTACTTTCCGAAGCAACCGTGCCCGGAAAGCACCTGCGTCAGCCGGAAGGAAAGGGTCCCGTGCTGCCGCCCTGCCCACTGAGCGATGACCGGCTGGAGAGCCTCCACGGCGGCGAAGCCAGCGCGTGGAGTCTCCAACCGGAGCGACCATCTGACCATGGTGACTCGGCAAGCGGCTTCGCGCCACTCGCGCACGTCTTCGGGCGGAGGGCGAAATCCGCTCTCCGCCCGGAAGTCAGAAGTCAGACGCCCTCGTAGGGCCCAGTCGTATCCAATGTTCCACAGGAGTGGTCCTAGGACAGACCCCTGCGGAACACCGCACGACATGGCCCTGCGTCTCAAGACGCCATCTCGGTCCTCGTACATGACGGTTCGCTCCTCAAGATAGTCTGCCACCAGCCGCCTCAGGTACTCCGGCACTCCGTGGTAGCGGAGCGCTTCCCTGATGCAGCTGAATGGCAGACTATTGAAAGCGTTGGCGATGTCCAAAGACACCGCCAACACAACTCCGCCGCAGCTCACAGCCTCCTCGGTCACGGCCCTAAGGCGCATCACGGCATCGATCGTCGAACGCCCCTCTCGGAAACCGAATTGGGCGTCCGACAGATCGGGGCCAACCTCGCAGAGGTGCCGGACGATGCGGGCAGAGAGCACCCTCTCAAAAAGTTTACCCGCCTCGTCCAGCAACACGATAGGCCTATAGGCCGCGACCGATTCGGCAGGATGTCCCGGCTTCTGCAGCAGGACCAGCTTTCCGCATTTCCAGCGCTCAGGGAAGCGTCCGGATGCCAGGGTAGCGTCCAACACTTCCCTGAGGTGGTCCGACATGTAGTCGAGGGCTCGGGCCATCACTCGGGCTGGAACCCCGTCCGGCCCGAAAGGCTCAAAGCCTATACTAACCAACCCCCTTTGCTATTGACTTCAAGGCAGGGCCGGATTATCCATAAGGTAGAGAAGGCAACTGCTTAGGGGCCCCGCATCGGTTATGGGCCCCACTTTTGCTGTTAGTTGCCGAGGAGTTACAAATCAGTCAGATGATGCTGCTGATGTTATTACACACAACCCTTCATTGACTTACAAAGAACCGAATCTTCAAAGAAAGGGGACCCCAGCGATTGAATTGCCTAAGGACTTCGACATGGCTAATCCGGCCCTGCTTTAAGGGCGTCAACGCACCTGTGCCTCTCGAACTGCAGGTGCCTTTTTGCGGCAAATAACCCATCAGCTCGTTTGCCCCCCCACACCAATATGAGTTGAAGAGTTGTCAGTCTTCATAATTGAGAACCTGAAGTACAATTGTTTCGCATGCGAGATCTTCTAAGAAATGGTGTTGTCACTGAATCAATAAATAATGGATCGGCGATTGAATGTAGTCAAGAGCAAACAAAGTAATGTTTGATCCTTACACATGTCATTTACTGAGTACCTCGTATTTTATATTAGTGCTGGCCTGCTACATCGATAGATTTCGAATATCGATATCAACAGCAGCACCAAACCGCAATCTTTACGGCGCAGGTGATGAACAGCATCAACGGCAGCTCGAGGATTGGGGTACTTATGACATCCACTGGGCTTCCAGTTAAGACATTCGATGAATTGCATTCGCCAATGACGAGACTCTAAGATGTTGATGAAAAGATATATTCTCATGCCGATATAATGCCGATTTTCAGTGTGGTGACGGATTAAGAACACGCAGTGTCACCACCCCTATGCATCCCGTGGGTGCCGTGAAAAACAACTAAGGGAGCAAACTATGCAGGACAACAGCACTGCAAAGAGAAGGAAAACTTGAAACAACCCCTATACCAACCCGTGTGGCTAGCGTGGTATAGTAACCCAAAACCTCCTTTCTATGGAGAGGCCTATGTACAGCAGTGGACTATTAAAGGCTGATGATGATGATGACGAATGCCGATTATCTTGGTTACTGACCAGTTGGATTTATTTTACAATTGGAACTTTAAGAAGAAGGAAAGTTATTGCCATGCTCAAAAGCAATATAGCTTTGCTTATAACGATGTCAATATCTCAACCAAGTCAATGTTGTATACCTGTAACAACATTGACTTTGTCAAATGTAAACTTAAAAAAATACACATTATACTGTTGGCTTGCCTCAACTTAAAATTGCACATTTTCGAAACTTTTAATACCTCTTCAAGTATGGTTGTAAATAGCTCCGGAGAAGAGTAAAACACCCTTTTAGATTTTTATAGAAGGTAGAAGATGTTTACAGGTTCAGGAAAGGTATAGTTGCCGTTTGCCAGCTTTATAGCCAGTTGAAAGCACCGGCTGAACAGCAATGTTTAAAAGATATATGTGGAGGGTCAAGGTTTGATTCTTGATTCAGGATATTCCTAAATATGCTGACATATGGTATTTTCGGTCCCCCTTTTATGGATGTTTAGTGTTGTTGATTGCCTTCAATGGATGAGGCGATCCAAAAAAAAATTATATAGTCACTATTTCATCCACAGTTTTTACTAGTCTACTGCTGGACATAGGCCTCTCTATAGAAAGGAGGTTGGTATAGGGTTTGTTTCAAGTTTCCTTCTCTTTGGAGCTACTAAGGGAGCAAACTACACAGGATAACAGCACTCTGTTATCCTGTGTAGTTTGCTCCCTTAGTCAACTCTTACGACACCCACAGGATCACTAGGGGTGGTGACACTATGTATTCTTAATCCGTCACCACAAGGAAAGTCACTATTTATATTTAGTTATATCTATCAAGGCACTCCTGCACGAAAGTTATAGTCCAATTCATATCAGTGAAATAATAAATGGAACACTTACATTGATATAATGGAATATCTTTCAATGAATTTCATATTAGTGAATTTTAACAATATGATAAGATCAAGGTACACAAGTAAACTCCCATGACTTCAAAAACTTTGCGCCACAAACTTAAGTCTTCATAGTAAACAAGATGTCAGTACTGCAAGTCGTCAGTTCATGCCAAAAATATGGGGAGCAAACAAGGATGAGTGAGCACTTCCCATAGTATTGGTATTTGTCAAGGGCTCTATGTCCATAATTACACTTAGAGGTGTTCCAATATGTGTTCAGATAGCCTAGTTTTTTCCAGAAATACAAAAGGTTCCTAGTATTCACTGGCTTGTAGGCACTATCGCCTTTTACCATAAGTTTCGAGAACAAAAATCAGAAAGTTAAAAAAAAGATCAATGGACTATGATAATTTTTCCGAACATGACAGTGAAGTAGCAAGTCGGAGCCTTCACATGTTTTCAGAACAATTACAACAATTATTTTAGGACATCTGAAGACTAAAGATTGTTTTAATCATTATTTAATGCCTAATGTTTTTACATAGAATTAGTAAATTAATTAATGTCAATTAACTATAAATATTAACATCAGAGTTTTATATTTTATTTATATTTATGTAAAATATCATGTGTATTATGAGAGAATATTTAAAATTCTGTTTATGATTGTGATATGTAAAACTACACTATTTTCCAATATCTGAAATATTGCATGTAACATAAAATCCAGTAATTTTCGTTTAAAATCACGATTTCCAATAAAACTGAAAAACAATATGAAGAAAATACGCATTATCGCTTTTATTCGACATAAACCTCTCTGACATAATTAAATAAACCATACGTTCTGCTGTAGATAGATCCAGAATTTACAGCATTTTGCATCTATATAAATAATTGAGCTGGCGGGTGTACGCACCGGTCACAGCACGGAACTTTCTCCATGAACGGTATACAAACCATCTAGATGCAATATCAACTATTTTTATTGTTTCTACGCCTCCGTAACATTTACGCATATATACCAAATGTTTATTGCTAATTTACGAGTACTTTTCAGTTAGAATTAAATTAATTTATAGATTTTTCATTTATTAACACTCACCTCGTAGAGTTCTGTTGTACGGAATTCTGTCGCTTAAATACACATTTATGGCGAGTTTCTTCTCAGATTCTTCGCCAAGTTGCTTCTCATGGCCCATGAGGTGCGCCGCGACACCTCCTTCACCCAACCCCGGAATAATACGAGCCTCATCTTCTAAAATCTCGCTTTCATAAGCGGCTTCTAAAGGATCCGAGAATGCTGCGCCTGCATTTCGCTGTCCGCCCCGCCACTGCTCGAATAAAGTTAGAATAGTCACCACTAAAACCACTAATAAAGCTACCCTGGCCGCCTGTAAGCACTTTCGCACAGGGAAAATCACCATTGTCCAATATGACGACGACACCGCACCGTGCGGCTCTCCGTGAGCGACTGATTTTGACATTTCGTACCAACCATGTTTGTTTACTTCACAGTTTGACTTTTTAAAAACAGGAAAGGACATTGTAAACAGACTATTCAGCCTAATCTGAATAGGAAGCTGTTTAAATTTTTATTTTCACTTTTATTGTTTCTTTCAGTTTGGAAATTAATCACAAATTCATTGGATGATAGTTTTGATTAAGTAGGTACTAAATGACGTTTAAGACGTTAATAATCGAGGATGGTGGCAGTTTTTTATTACATTATTATTTTTAAGTCTAATGACGTGCAAGGTTAGTCTTGAAATACTTACAATTACGACCTTCAAACCTTCAAGAAAAGAGCGTACTCAAAGGCCGGCAATGCGCTTGTGACACCCGAGTTGCAGGCTTTCATGGGCAGCGGAAATAGCTTTCCATCAGGCGACCCGTCTGTGAAGCCTTGCATACAAATACCCCTCATGGTTTGCTCAATTCAAAAATTCGACCGCCCTTCCTTGCATAAAGACCGTTGTTTTTAATGATTTAATTACAAATGTATAGTTTTCAGATTGTTTCCTACATATATAAGACGATATTACTTGCTAAATTTCATAGTTCTAGGTCAACGGAAAATATCCTATAAATTTTAATTCCCTTAAGAGTGTCGAAATATACGTTTTTGGTGATATAAACGGCCTTATCTTTTTTTACGTTAACTTGGAAGTTTGATTTTTTCACAGCTTCAAGAGACTGTAAACTGTAAAGTATAGCGTTTTGATTTCAACTCGATGACTAAACGCGTTCCCGAGATAAAGGGTCTTGACAAACAGACAGAGATAAAAGTGATCCTATAAGGCTTCCGTTTTTTTTTCTTTTGACGTACGGAACCCCTAAAATTTAAATTATTATTTATAAGAGGCAAGCTAATAGTTCTAAGTACTTATCTAGGTAATACCTTCACTGTGCCCCAGGTTTCAAACGAGCAGGAACCCGTTACTTGAAGGTAAGTGACTACCGCAGTCCATGGGCATTACAAACTTAAGGGTGACAGGTGTGTTGCCATCCTTTGGGATTACTACCAAATCTTAGAAAAAAGAGCGTACGGTAGTGAGATTTCAAAGTCATTTTGTCAGTCTGGTAATTTTCGCAGGAGACAATATGTTCCACATGTTGGTCACGATGAGCATAACGTTGCTTGAAAAGCGGAAAGGAGTAGAAAGTCACGTATGGGGATGGAAATATCGTTATATTTTAATAAAGTAACTTAGTAAGAGATCATCTACCCGATGAGGTAGGGTAGGTTAGGTAGGAGAGCAACGAATCCGGCTATCACAAAACCACGAGGAGTGGCTTGATAGAGAAGAGCGCTTTACAGCGGGTGTAACAGGCTGCTTGGATAGACATAACTTAGAATGAAATGATTAAAACATCACGACCAATTATAAAATCATTTAATTATTTGCTTATCATAACAGCACACGTAAAAACTAACATTATATTACAAATCAGTGGAATGTCGGTTTAATCACATTAATAACAATAAATAACACAATACATTCATACATGTCCGAATTTGTTATTAAGTTACAAATTAAATTACACTTTGAGCGTATACTTCATAACGTCTCGCTCACACTTAAGACTTATGAATAGGAGAGAATGAGATATAATAATTTAACTACAACACATGGATACACGACAGGAGAGGAGAGGCTTATGTCCAGCAGTGGACTATTAAAGGATGTGATGTGATGATGTGACATGGATACACACTACATGGTCCTTCGAGCCTGATCATGTAGAAGATTTTTAAGTTTGTATTTACTTAGACTTAAATATTTTAGTAGTACAGTAAAAAAAATTGTTTTCCTATACCTTGAGGTGTAGGACATTTTAATCCAGGTTTCAAAACTCACTTTTGCACCAGAACTGCCTTCATACGCCCATATGACTTTTGTAGAAGTAATATTATTTTTCTTCTCAAGCACCGCGTAATGTTTAGGTATTTGATGAATTGGCAGTAGATGAATTGTATATTTTAAAAGAAATAATACACTCGGACGGACAATGTTGGTAACAAAAATATTAGATTATTAAGTTTCGAAGCGGTTTGACATTAATAAGTAAATCTACACTTATTTTTTTAACCATTCGCTCTGTAAGCATATCCTTAATGATAACATTATGTATTTTTATAGCACATAATTATATACAATAAATAATATTACATCAATTCAGTACATAAAACTTGAAAAATGATTTCCTTTTAGTTAGATATAACATTTGATTTTTTTACCGGATTTTACCAGGATATTGCCGGGTTAACTTAACGAATAAAAGCTACTCATGCTTTATATACTTCATTATTATGTATATATTTCATTATTTGTAATATCGTTAAACTAACGAAAGACCATTTATAGAACTAAATATTATAATATTTATCAGCGTATATTTACATTATTTTAAGTACAAAAACTTCAGTATTTTTAAATGTTTTTAATTAATATGGAAGCAAAGATTTTCTCAATTTTCTTAAGGCTTCGTCAAAAGTCTATTTTTCAATTAAACCATAAAAAGCTTATTAAAGACTAGCTGAGCTCGGCGCGAATTCCCCTGCATGTTCATTTTTATACTTTTTGCGCTAAAACTATTTCAGAATAATAGTAGCACAGTTAATCGTGTAAAATCAGCTATCTGCCCATAAAAGTCCCTTAGAAATCGATCGAACCGTTCGTAAGCGTAGTTAAAACAAACACAAAAAACAAAAAATTATAAAAAATTGGTAAAAACAGCTATTACGACATGACAAACATACACTTCAATTTCAATTATTTGCATATAAATGTACAATTATATATATTCCGGGGTTGCCCATCACTGCCGCGGCAGTTACTTTACGTCTTGATTATGGAGCCGTTGTCAGGTTGACTAAATACCCATATGTTAAACTCCAGGAACTGAAATCCTTTCGTGAGTTTGAAAGTTTTTGATAAAGATTAACCGATCATCCATGTACTATTTCCCAACATCATTGTGTATATTCTTACAAGTTTCCTTAAAACAACGCATCCGTAGAACTCTGTTGAGCCTTCGACAGCTTAGCACCTTTCATATCCAGCACTTTATGAAACTCAGCCAAAGTACATTCCGGAGCAGCTGGACGAACTGTGACACGAAACCTTCCAAATTCCCATCTAATGGTGCCAATTACCAATTTCAAAATCATTTCAGCTTTCGTCATTAATTTTATTACGACTTTGGTGGATGTGGCTGGGGCCCGGGCGTCGAACCTCCGACCCTATAGACGGTTAGCTCTAATAGAGCAGTTTTAAGCATATGCGTATCGAGCAAAAAATGTTCAGATCCGACGGTCGATAAGTTACACTTTTTAAATATTTTGGATGAACTTGGTATGAAGGAATTCGCGAATCTTATACAAAATTGTGTAAAGTATTTTCCTGGAGGACGAGAGATTGTCTCTCCAAATTAGGTACAGCATTTTTAGGTACATAATAATTTGCGTGACATACGAATTTTGATCGCCGACATTGTCGAAATTCAACCAGGATATTTCGTCATGGCTGCAGGGCCGGCTCGCATGCTAATTCCAGATCCTGCACCAGCATTTAAATGCAGTTGTTGATGATCTTGTGGAACAGACCCGTTCTGGAGTCATGTCGATTTGTCCGCGAGCCCTGGGGAGACTTTTTCTTTTAGTTTTGTTCTAAGTGGATCGTCGTCTCGGGGCAGACTCCGAGGTTGTGATCACGCTGGTATTTTGATATTTCCTGTTTCGTGTATTGTAATAGAACGGTAGTGGTCAATTTATATCTATGATTAAAATCGTTTAACAAATAAACTAAAGCGTTTCACAACGTTTTTTTGATATGCTCCGCCTAAAGGTGCAAACGATATAATCTAGGATATAATCTAGAATAGGAGCGGGAATACCCTTAAAATAGAAACACGTACACTTTAATAAACATTACTACCATTCACAGTATTTCGATTGTTTTCTATTTATTTGAGTAATCATCATCAACAGCCTTTACCGGTTCACTGTAGGACACAGGCCTCTCCTTAGAAACGAGTTTGGAGGCTTTGAGTAATGTTTGATGAGTACCTGGCGTCGCTCCGGCCGCCGTCGTCCCGCAGCAGCGTGTGCAGGTTGGTGACGAGCGCGGGCACGCCCAGCGACAGCGCGGCGGATCTGAGTAATGTTCGATGAGTACCTGGCGTCGCTCCCGCCGCCGTCGTCCCGCAGCAGCGTGTGCAGGTTGGTGACGAGCGCGGGCACGCCCAGCGACAGCGCGGCGGATCTGAGTAATGTTCGATGAGTACACTGGCGTCGCTCCCGCCCGCCGTCGTCCCGCAGCAGCGTGTGCAGGTTTGTGACGAGCGCGGGCCACGCCCCAGCGACAGCGCGGCGGATCTGAGTAATGTTCGATGAGTACCTGGCGTCGCTCCCGCCGCCGTCGTCCCGCAGCAGCGTGTGCAGGTTGGTGACGAGCGCGGGCACGCCCAGCGACAGCGCGGCGGATCTGAGTAATGTTCGATGAGTACCTGGCGTCGCTCCCCGCCGCCGTCGTCCCGCAGCAGCGTGTGCATGGTTGGTGACGAGCGCGGGCACGCCCAGCGACAGCGCGGCGGATCTGAGTAATGTTCGATGAGTACCTGGCGTCCGCTCCCGCCGCCGTCGTCCCGCAGCAAGCGTGTGCAGGTTGGTGACGAGCGCGGGCACGCCCAGCGACAGCGCGGCGGATCTGAGTAATGTTCGATGAGTACCTGGCGTCGCTCCCGCCCGCCGTCGTTCCCGCAGCAGCGTGTGCAGGTTGGTGACGAGCGCGGGCACGCCAGCGACAGCGCGGCGGATCTGAGTAATGTTCGATGAGTACCTGGCGTGCTCCCGCCGCCGTCGTCCCGCAGAGCGGGGGCAGGTTGTGACGAGCGGGGCCGCCCCCGACAGGGCCGGGGGATCTGATAAGTTCGAGAGTACCCGGCGCGCTCCCCCCGCCCTCGTCCCCCAGCAGCTGTGCAGGTTTTTGGGGACGAGCGCGGCACGCCCAGCGACAGCGCGGCTGAATCTGAGTAATGTTCGATGAGTACCTGGCGTCGCTCCCGCCGCCGGTCGTCCCGCAGCAGCGTGTGCAGGTGGTGACGAGCGCGGGCACGCCAGCGACAGCGCGGCGGATTGAGTAATGTTCGATGAGTACCTGGCGTCGCTCCCGCCGCCGTCGTCCCGCAGCAGCGTGTGCAGGTTGGTGACGAGCGCGGGCACGCCCAGCGACAGCGCGGCGGATCTGAGTAATGTTCGATGATTACCTGGCGTCGCTCCCGCCGCCGTCGTCCCGCAGCAGCGTGTGCAGGTTGGTGACGAGCGCGGGCACGCCAGCGACAGCGCGGCGGATCTGAGTAATGTTCGATGAGTACCTGGCGTCGCTCCCGCCGCCGTCGTCCCGCAGCAGCGTGTGCAGGTTGGTGACGAGCGCGGGCACGCCCAGCGACAGCGCGGCGGATCTGAGTAATGTTCGATGGAGTACCTGGCGTCGGTCCCGCCGCCGTCGTCCCGCAGCAGCGTGTGCAGGTTGGTGACGAGCGCGGGCACGCCAGCGACAGCGCGGCGGATCTGAGTAATGTTCGATGAGTACCTGGCGTCGCTCCCGCCGCCGTCGTCCCGCAGCAGCGTGTGCAGGTTGGTGACGAGCGCGGGCACGCCCAGCGAACAGCGCGGCGGATCTGAGTAATGTTCGATTGAGTACCTGGCGTCGCTCCCGCCGCCGTCGTCCCGCAGCAGCGTGTGCAGGTTGGTGACGAGCGCGGGCACGCCCAGCGACAGCGCGGGCGGATCTGAGTAATGTTCGATGAGTACCTGGCGTCGCTCCCGCCGCCGTCGTCCCGCAGCAGCGTGTGCAGGTTGGTGACGAGCGCGGGCACGCCCAGCGACAGCGCGGCGGATCTGAGTAATGTTCGATGAGTACCTGGCGTCGCTCCCGCCGCCGTCGTCCCGCAGCAGCGTGTGCAGGTTGGTGACGAGCGCGGGCACACGCCCAGCGACCAGCGCGGCGGATCTGAGTAATGTTCGATGAGTACTGGCGTCGCTCCCGCCGCCGTCGTCCCGCAGCAGCGTGTGCAGGTGGTGACGAGGCGCGGCACGCCCAGCGACAGCGCGGCGGATCTGAGTAATGTTCGATGAGTACCTGGCGTCGCTCCCGCCGCCGTCGTCCCGCAGCAGCGTGTGCGGTTGGTGACGAGCGGGGCACGCCCAGGGGCAGCGCGGGGGCGCGGCGGCGCGCGGCAGCACGCCCTGAGCACGCCGTCGCGTACTCGCCCCCGGTACTTCTGGAACCCCCCGCCCAGCTTGCCCGTAGCAACAATGTATACTAGCTATTTTTATTTTTTTAAGTCGATTAAAAAGCAAGACTGTAGGCCTTTTTTTGTTAGGGGTGGACGACCCCTGAGCGCGTGACCGAGAGACGGTCTCGGGCACCCTACTCAAGTTTGTAACCGAGAATTCCCGTTTACATAAAATTTAGGATAGATGGGAACAAACAGACGAGACAAAAGAAAATCGATTTAAAAAAACTTTAGGGGCTTTACGAGCATGAAATCTCACTTAGTCAAATAACAAAATGTTTTTTGTGTTTATAACAGAAAAAAAAGCGTTTAAAATTAAACAAAAAAAACAACTTTTTGGCTTTTTTACGAATAATTTTGACAGGAGAAATTTTTTAACTTTTAAAAAAACTATCCCGTTATAGCTTTTTTGTATCAAACTTTCTGTTATCAATAGTAGGCGATTACGCTACAAACAATGGCGAAAACAGGTTAAAACCAAGGGCACGTTTATTACTTTGACATATTAAATGCAAAGGGGAAAACGATAAGTAAAAGTTTAATGGAAATTTGGTATAGCGAAAACCTTTTATAGCGTGAGCACGAGTTTACATAGTGATTTTGTTGCTATACAAAATTTTCTTACTTATAAAAAGCATGCCCATGTTTATTCCTATAATGCATTAACATAAAAATATTTTACTTAAATTTACTGAACAAAATTGATTTTAAATTTTTTGGGGTCCCCCAAGGCTCCATTTTGATCCTACGACTTTAAAGCAACAAAGTTTTTTACCTGTTGTAATTTAGTGGTATGATAGATACATTAAAAACGAAAAACGCAATTTCAAAACCCAGGGTTTTTTTTTTTTATTTATTAGATTTTTGTTTTTATTTACACAATTCGAAAACCCGGGCTTTTTTCAGGGTTTTAGTGAGCCCTAGAAAAGAAATCTCTGTGAAACCCGACAGATTTGGCGGGTGTTAAACAAGGCGATCCCACTGCCGCATGTGAAGGGTCCTATTTCCCCCCAAATTTAAAGATCATCGGTTGCTTCTGGTAAAATACAGACAGCTCGTCCCCCATCAGGAGCTAGGCGCAGGCGCAGGCGCTCAGGGAGGCCAGGGATCATAGATTATATTTACTTATGTAGGTATGGACGTAGCAGACATATGGTGAGAATCATTAATCGTATCATCTCATCTGCCTACCTTTTTCCCAATTTTATTTGGGGTCGGCGCAGTATGTTGATTTTTCCATTCTACTCTGTCATGCGTCATCTCACTGTTTACTCCCTTCCCTAGCCATATCCTCCCTCACCCCAGTCCATCCGCCTTTCTTCGGTCTGCCTCTTCCTTGTACCTTTAACTCCCATACCTAAAACTTTCTTCGCCACATTTTCCTAATCCCTCCCCCAGGGACATGTCCATACCAGGATAACCTATTACTTCTTAACTTTCATCCAGTGGCGCTACTTTCAGACTCCTCGTATATACTCATTCCTAACCCTGTCCATCTGAGTCACACCACACATCCATCTCAGCATTCGCATTTCGGCTACGTTCAGGCGTCTTCATCCGTTTTTCTTAAGGGAAAACTTTCAGAACCATACAGACGGCATTTTGATAATATTTTTTAAAATTTTGTCCTTCGGGTTTTTAAGGGGAAACTGGGGTAAAGTTTTTCTCTTACCTGCCGCCCCTTCACCCATCCCGATTGATTCGATGGTACATCGTCATTCTCACCTATATTGTAAGGGGGGGCCGAGGTATTGAAATTGGAGAGACTTTTTACGCTATCCCTCCAGCGAAATGGTTTTAGGACTGGAAGCCCGCCAAACGCAGAACATGTATTCTTTTTTGGTTTTCTGCTGATTTTCAACCCAACTTTCTCCACCTTTTTTGCCATTTTTCCAGTCTGCTCTGGACCTTCCAAATTTTTCACCGACCAACAAAATGTCACTGAAAATAGCTCCCCCAAGGTGCCTCCTCCGTAGGGTCCGATTCAGAGCATCCATTATCAACAGGAAGAAGTAGGGGTCAGACTGACCCTGGTGCAAGCCTAAGAAAAAATGAATTGATCAGGATCAGAATCATTAATGTATAAGATTGTTTTTTATTACATTTGATGAAGATACATGTCCAAGTTTAAAAGAAAAATTTGGTAAGCTGTATAAAAGGAGACGACCCGCTAGGCCGCCGGTGGGACCGCGCGCACTGCCCCAGGCACTTCTTTAAAAAGGGAAAAAAGTCCGCGCAGCTCGATATCCCGCCCCGGGACGTTTTTCCCCTCTGTCCCCCGTGAGGGGGGGCCCTTCGATCCGGGAAAAAACAGAGGAGGAGTTCCGTATTTAATTGGACCCATCCTTTGATGTTATTTTACTGGTATCGTTTGACATTTGCAAATTTAACCCATACAGATGTGCATTGTGACTTATGTGACTAGAAGACGAAATTTTTGAAGATTCTAAAAAAAAAAACAGATAAATGAATACCCACAAGTATATATTTTAAAATGAAACGATTTTTACTTTGTTTTTAAAATTTTCAATAAGGGAAATTATTCTCAAATCGTTTTTTAACCCCTCCCAAAACCAAACCAAAATTACCACAAACTGTCAAAATTCGTCTTTATATTGTCCCACGTATTTTAAACCCCGCAGGTGTCCTACGAAAAGTTTGCCTGGACAAAATGTCTTGATTGTCTTTTGCCTTTAAAAGTAGTTAATCCCTTTTAAAAAAGAAGGAGTTTGTTCTAAATTTGGGATTTTAGGAACAATTTTTGGAAAACAAATTTCCTTTACGCGCGTTCACGCTTTAGGGAGCGAGACCGAAAAAATTTTGAAACAAGATTGTTTCCGACATTTTTGCTAGATTTCAGCAAAGGACCTTCTTTGACCGACAGGTCCATAACCCTCATGGTTTATTTTATTTTGGTCCCTCAGAACTCTGTCTTTTTGGAACCAATTTTGGTTTTTTTTACTTGGGGGGATTACCCCCCTTTTGGAAGGGGGGGTCCCTCAAATTGGGGTAAAAAACAAACCCCCCCAGAACAACATCCAAGCCCCCCTAACTCTATATTAACATTTAAAAAAATTGACCATTTTTGGAAGGAAATCTTGAAAATGTAAATTTACATTCGTCAAAATGATAAAAGCAGGTCTTATTGTATAACCGATCCACAGAGACCGGAGGTTGGCGCGAGGAGCTGATGTACAGCGACAGGTACGGCTCGAAGCAGATCCGATCAGCCCCACCCCCGGCGAGGCGGGGCCAGAGCCTGTGGGCTGCCCGGGTTCTACTGCTTCTGCTCCACTGCCCCTATAAATGTATTAATTTTGGTTAGGGCTGAAGGAGCCGACCAGTTACCTATAGAACGTTACTTGAAAGTTATTAAGTTGACTGCACGGACGGCGTAGTGGTTTAAGCGGTCACCTCACTGCTTCCTCCTGCGCTAAGTGTTTGTTGAGTTCGATCCCCACATGGGATATCACTTTATGTGATCCACAATTTATGGTTCTAAGTCTGGGTGTTCTTTGTGTCCGTTGCATGTGTATTGAAAAGTTCCCCACTTCAACAGGATTTTTATAATTATTTTCTACCACATTCACACTAAGCCCAAAACTAAGCAGCGCTTGTACTATGGGTACTAGACGACTGATATAAATACATATATGTTTTTTACACGCTTTTATATTAACTTCACTTGTATGTTTTTTATGTTTGTTTGTAACCGATTCCTTTGAGCGTGATTTTGACTGACTTTAAACGTTCAGAATTCGTTCAAACTTTGTAGATATATCGAGGACCGATTGACAATACACTAATTTAAAAAAAAAATGTTTTAAAAAAACTATAAAACACGCTTTTTTATAGAAAACCAAACTAAAAAATAGAAAATAAATTTTATAAATTTGAAAAAAAGCGTGGCGTGCTTTTTTACTATTGACAACAGGCACCCAACGCTTTTTATCAAATTTATTAAAAATTATTTTTGTAAATACATAAATATCGTACATAGAAACGTTTGTTTTACATTTACATTTTTTACGACAAATGTTTGAAATTCTCGGATTTTTCTTTACTATATTATACATATAAATCTTCCTCTCGAATTAAAATCCGTTGCTTAGTTTAAAAGGTCTAAGGTCTAAGCGACACAAAAAGCGACTTATTTATACTATGTAAAGTATGGATTTGTTTCATTAAAGTGCGACAGGCCTTTGGACAGGACTTAGTCTGTCAGGTCAGATGGTAAGTGAATAAAACCATCTTACATCTTTGTTATCAGCATCAAACTCCGACTGTTTATCAACTCCAATGTCCACCGGTCAGCACCAAGCTCTCCGTACCTGTAACAACAATAATTATATTATTTTAAAGGGCTCGGACTTCTCAGCAACAACCAAGACTTGCTGGAACTATTGCTGACAGTCCCCAAATAGTCATCTTCTTCTTCAGCCTTCTCGACCATTGTTGGTGAAGACCTCCTGCAACATTCTCCATTCCTATCTGTGTTGTGCTCTTTGTATTCAGTTCGAGCTAGCGATTTGGGTCACCTGATAGAAAGCGACTGCCGCCACCCATGAACGTAAGACCCGACTAAGGGAGCTAACTATGCAACACACCAGACAAACAATACAAAACTTGACACAAACCCTATAACCAACCCGGTCCTGGCCAGCGTAGTATAGTAGCCCAAAACCTCCTTTATAAGGAGAGGCCTATGTTCAGCGCTGGACTGTTAAAGGCTGTTGATGAACTTCCCATCTTACCAACACTTCCTTTCACATTGAACTCACAATACTCCCATTTAATTCCTAAAGTGCCCGGCAACAAGGCTCACCCTATATTAAGCAAGTGGGAATAAAAGTACAACTCAAATCTCCCCTGCTGATTCTATGGGGGTGGGGTAATCAAAGGCGGCAATGCAGTTGCGACTCTTAAAATTCAGCCATGGGTGACGCTAGCCACTTGCCATCAGGTAACCCGTCCGATCGTTTGGTCTCCTATTAAATGCAATAAAAATCTCCTATAAAAAAAGCAAAATGGGGTCTCTGCTTATCTATTCAGGGATATCTAATTTATAATCGAATATTTTGAAATGAGAGGAAAGAATAATACTAAGTGATAGCTTCCATATTTATTGCAGAATATTATTTTGTAATATTTATTGTATAATATGTTTCAGTGTCAACTATAGAGATTATAAGATCTGATTTGATCTCAAACTAGGCAGATCCTGTAATCTGTAATCAGACTGCTGATAAACATACCTATTTATTAGGTATTTACCTATGAAATTGCCGTTTTGTATGCAATAAGTGAAAGTACTTATTTTTTCAAACTTTTTACCCACTAAAAAGTTGTCAAAATTTTTGGAAAAAGTAATAATAATAATAATAAAAAAAAACTAATAAAATAATAAAGTAATAATAATAATAATAAAAAAAAACTAGCAAAAATTCCCTCACAGTCGGAATTTCTTCACATTTTCGAATTAAAACAATTTTTCTATAATTTACAACCCCGAAAATCTTTTAAAACTTTTAAACTGTTTTGGGAAAGGGGACCTTTTTTATGAAAAAAAACACAAAACTTTTTTAAATAAATAATAAATAGATATATGTTGATAGTAAGACAGACGTTTAACGTCATGTAAAATACAAAAAATATTAAAAATGAAAGAAATTAGAAATTCGACTGAAAATGTTAACCCCGACTAGCCCCAGAGCACTGAAAAACCCCCGGACTCGTCGCCCGCCCGTCTTCCCGTCCCCGAAGCTACAAAAAATTTCCCGGGCCGTGGCTGAGGCGTCGAGCTAAATTTCAAGCGACGAGTTTTTCTCTCCGCCGACGTCGAACACCTGACGTCGGAGGGGAGGGGGCGGCCACCACCAGTTTGGGGGACCCGAGGACTACTGACCTCAAAAGGGGTCCCCTCCCGGGGGTGATTGCGCGCAGAATGGCAAAGTTATTAATGAAATGTCATGCGGGCATATTATCGGCTAAGAGGGGGGAAAAAACCTTAGGGGGTACCGTTTTTGACTAGTCTCTTTTTTTCGGGGAGCTTAACCCAGCTGTAAAACGAAAAGCACAACGTTTGTCGGATCAAGTAGAGTATGCGCTGTCATCTGGAGATGCAGACTTGAAGGATACTTTGACAACGGAATAGCTTAATTATCCCTTTTCGTCCCCCAAAAATGGGACGGTAGCCAAAAGAACCTCAGTTGGCTAATACGATGATATGATAAACTAGGGGAGAGTGAAGTTATATCCGAAGTCCCCAATACAATGATGGGGGGAAAGGAGGGGAGGAATGGTTTCTGGAAACCGATATTAAATTCAATGATAGGCCCCGGTTATTCGTTTGCCCATTCATAAAAAAAATTACGTGGGGGGTCCCTGGATTCGTTTTTGCCTGAATTTTTAAGTAATAGCGAAGATTTTGTGATAAATTCTATTCTATTTTGTGGGGGTATTGCAGTTGCGAGTAGCTGGTGTTAAAATACTAAAAACCCTATACTCGACCTAAATCTACTGTACCAGCTTGGCAGTATAGAATGAAGCCCGTATTAGAGACCAGGAAAATCATGGGAACTTTTACTACCGTCGGGGAATATGGGCCCCGAGAGTGACCCTTTTGGGAAAACAGGCATTCTTGGGGATACCTTTAGCCCTCAGCAGTACATGTATGTGCCGAGCGCATAGATTTTCTAAACAAAAATTTGCATGGGCAAATGGGAAAAACGGTAAAAAAACGAATAGATCGGTATAATCAAAACGGATGTTCCAAAAAAATGAGAAGGGGTGCCGGAAATGGGGGAACCGGATCCATGTTGGGGATAGGCATTTGCCAGTAAAAATGTACAAATCATTTTGGCCCCGTAACTTGGTGGGTCCCTGTCTAAAAAAAGGTGATTGGTTGCGGATGTCGACGCTCAGGGGAGTCTATAACACCATGGAACCTGTTAAAATTGATAAAGTGATGTAATTTCGTTCGTTCATTCCCAAAAGGGAAATCACCGGGCCCCAAGACGGACTCACAACTTTTGGTTAAGTGGTTCCGAAGCTCACTGCGCTTTGGTTTAAATTTCCACAGTTTGGATTCGGGTTAAATTTCCCCCAAATTTTTAAACGGAAAAACCCCACTTACTCAAAAAGTTGGTAGTGTCATGGACCCCAAAAATTTTCGCCTATACATTTTCCCTACCATGTAAAACTTAAATTTTTCTGGACTAAAAATTACTAATATTAAAAATAATTCGATTATGTCAGTTTTCAAATGGATGTAGAAGGGGCCCGGGCACAAAAACCCCCTTTTATCATAGACATACCATTACCCAAAGGTATTTGTAATCGAAGAGTTTGGGGGCGTGTTGGATAGTTTATAGAAGGTTATGACTTGGTTTTCCACCACTGGCTTTTGAGGTCTGGAGTTGTAAAAAATTTGATAAAACCCTTTGTGCACTTTCTTGAAGTCTTTTGGGGGCAAGGGAGAACGGCCTTCGCTACCAGGATGTGGGCAAAGCCAAAGATTATAAAAAGATCGACGGGGTATTTTCAAGGTGATAGTCTGAGCCCTTGGGTTTTGTCTGGTTTTAACCCCTTGACTTTATTGAGGGTTTTAGGTTAGGCTATAGGTTGCAGAAAAGATCAAGTATATCCACCCTTTTTTATAGGTGTTTTTAAAAAGTTTTGCCTCCAACAAATTACAATTGACAAGTTACTAAAAGGGGACGGAAAACTTTTTGTAATTCTATCAAAAAGGAATTTGTGTAGACAATGTGCAGTCATGTTTAAAAAAGGGTGTGATATGAATCGAAGGGAAAAGGCTTTTGGTTTAACAAAAAATCGATTTTGTCTGCCACTGAAACTTACAATATTGGGGAATCCAGCGTTGGGAATACCAGAATCTAAAATGAAAACAAACATTGCAGGGGAAAGCTTTTTTTGGCCGCTTGAAAAAGTACTTAAAAGTCTTTTTTCAGGGGCAACAGGGGCGACCTGCCCCAAAGGTTGGGGCATCCGGGTTTTTAATGTATTCCTTTGGTCTACTTTTAAAGGACTCAGACCAATTAGATGCCCTTGACAGGAAGTCCCCCACATTTTGATGCATCCCCAAGCACCACCCGTTCATCAGTTATGAGATTGATATCCCCCGAAACTTGGGGGTCGCGGGGCTATTTAAAAATCAAAACCCTACATAATCCGAGGGATGCAAACAAGAAATTTTCTACATCGACGTGGGAGGCATCGCAATGTAGTTGCAGTGGTACCGGCTTACCCCCCTCGCTCTGGGTAAAGAGAATTGGGGCCCGACCGTAGTACTGGGGTTAATGATCGCAGGGAAGTATGGAAGGGCAAAGAGCTCCATGGCGGTTTATCGGGGCCCCAAGGGTCCGTAAGATTTTTAAAAAATTTCGACTTTGGGTACGGGATGGGTCTCTTTTTGGGGAAACTGAAGGGTTTTTTTTGTGCATTATGGGCGAAGTTTCATGACAATAACTATCGGAAATATATCCTGAAAATGGTAGGTTGAATCTGTCGGGGTGCCCCCGTCCTGGCGAATCAAAACGGATATTATTTTTGGTTTTTTGTCTTGCAAGGAGGGAAAAAATTGCACAGGCACAACCAAGTCCAGGGTCTACACCAAAAAGCTTGCCCTTTAAAAACCCTTTGTTTAATCAGAGGTCCCCCACTATAGGATTGCCCGACCCAGTTCTCGAGAATGGTCGGGCCACGTTGTATTGGGATCGATCTATTATCACAGACAGGACTATTGTTGCCAATAAGCCTGATATTGTGTTGATAGATCGATTAGAGCGCCGCGCAATGATTGTTGATATCGCCGTTCCTCATGACGAGAATCTCGTGAAAGTTGAAAAAGAAAAACAAATTAAATATTTGGATTTATCTCACGAGATTGTCGATATGTGGAATGTTGATTCAGTGATCATTGTTCCGATAGTCGTATCTGCTCATGGATTGATAGCCAAGAGCCTCGACCAACACCTTAAGAGGCTCACGTTGGATGGCTGGATCAAGGGTCTGATGCAGAAGGCAGTCCTCCTTGACACGGCTCGTATAGTGAGGAGGTTCCTATCTTTGGAGTCCTAACCACCGGTGTCTTGGTCCCTGTACCCGATGTCGGTGGTCTACTATTTTTTATATTTTTAAATGTATTTTTTTTTTTATAAAGTGTATATTTAAAAATGTAAATAATATGTATATAAAGTAAATAAAGAGAATAATAATAATATAATAATAATAAAGTTTATTTCTCTTCCACAAAGGTTCCTTAAAATTAAAACTTATAAATAAATTGAGAGTATGTTTAATTCCTTTGTGGGAGACTGGTATCCGTACTAGGTGTCCCTGTCACACAGATTACCAGGCCCCCCAGGATAAAATTTGCTGACATAGTGACAGGTTACTATAGAATATTAAATATAGGAAGGAATTTTGCAGCTAATGTTTTTTTTTGTTGTAAGCACCCACTAGGGCTTTTTGGAAGTTTTACCCTTAAGGGGATAAAATAAAGGATGAACGGTTTTATGGACGTTCGTGATTTTTAAAGTTAGAAACACGAAATAATCACACGAGGGAACCCGCGGGCCATGACTAATTAAATATTTTACCTATGAATCTCTTGTGCAGCAACAGCTCAAAGTTGTAAGTCTTCTGTATGGCATACAAGAGGAGCTTCACGTCCACTTCGTTGCGGCGGGATGCCATTATGTTGCTCAACTCAGTCTTCGTCATCTGTTAGAGAAGAGAGACAAGGAATTTCATTAGTATTATATAAAACTGAAAACAAACTACAAACCTTCAAGAAAAGAGCGTACTACTAAAGGGCCGACAACGCGTGCCTCCTGAGTTGCAGACTTGAAGGGGCGACGGTGGTCACTTTCCATCAGGTGACCCGTTTGCTCGTCTACACCTATATCATGAAAAAAAAGGAAACAAACCCAAACCCTCCTCCCCTAAATTCTGGGGAGAGGGACTTAAATAACGATGCAATTGTGACTCAGGATCTGCAGGTTTCCGTGGGCGGTGGTAATTACCATTAAGTGAATTGCTCTTTTGCATATATGCTCATAATAAAAACCCATACACCATAAAATCTTACATGTGACAACTCTATCATAGACTCTCAGTTCAATAGGAAACACTGTCTGTATTAGCGGAGTGTGACGTCACAAACCGATATTGAATTCAACCTGTCGAGTCGAGAACGCTTTGTACTTCTAGCTTTATACCTAAAGTGTGGCCTGCCTTGCGGGTGGTGTAGTGGCGAATAGAATACGGAGTGGCACCCCTACTTTTCCCGTGAGTGTCGTAAGAGTCGACTAAGAAAACAAACTACGCAGGAAAACAGCACTGCAAAGAGATGGAAAACTTGACACAACCCCTATAGGGTTTGTGTCAAGTTTGCCAACCCGTCTGGCCAGCGTGGTATCAGCATCATCAACAGCCTTTAATAGTCCACTGCTGGAATAAGCCTCTCCTTAGAAAGGAGATTTTGGCCTACTATACAGTGGTGGTGACACTCTGTATTCTTAATCCGTCACCACACGGACCAGCGTGGTATAGTAGGCCAAAACCTCCTTTTTAGACGAGGTGTATATCGAGCAGTAGACTTTTAAATGCCGTTGATGATGAGGCTGATGATGATGTGGCCGGGGCTTGATCTTAGTCCAATTGTGTTAAGCCCTTATTGTACTTAAAGGTCACTGACCTTACAAAATTGTTGAGTGATGGCCTCGCTGAGCTTCCAGGTGTGAGGGAACACGTTCCCGAGGGACTCCTCGAAAGCGAGCAGGTGCCGCTTAAGCCACGCGTAGCGCCGCTCCACGAACGAGATCCATGCACACTCCTGCTCCGGGGAGAATAGGTGCTGGTACTCCTGGAAAAGAAATAACATTCATTTACCAAATATCTGTGTCCTCTTGTGGCAAGAAGGGAGAGTATGAGACATAGAATATTAGAGGAAATTGTTACATAAGGAGAAGCGGTTACCTGCAGCTGCACATTAATGAACCACTTTAATAGTTCCTGCTTCACCTTCGGCTCCAGGATGTCCACCACACCGCATGCTTCTGACAAAGTCCGGTGGGAGATCGTACTCTTGCTACCAGCTGCGGACCAGTCAAATTAGAGAGATAATTCACATAAAACGGTAGTTGACAGTAAAATCAAAACAGTTTCTCTTATTACCCTTGGGGAGCCAAGCTCTCAGTACAACTGGGCCGGCTTCACCGGAGTGATACCATGGCAACTAGTGTTAAGTAAACTGGAATTTTCCGGTGCCCCCCTTCGGATGACAGCCTCCATTCGAGGAAGGGGAGAACGGGAGAAAGGGTGGCAACGCCCGTGTCTAGTTGCTCTGGTATGGGTATGCGTAAGGCCATATACCATCAGGTGCTCTGTCAACTCCTTTGCCCCATTTACCATTAATAAAAAATATATTATAACATCCACTGCTGGCCATGGACTTCTCTTTAAGAAAGGAGGTAAAAAATTAAAAGTTTATGGCTTATTAAAAAAACATTCAATTGAAAAGGAATATACATATACAGGGTGCAAGGGACGTCGTAACGAATATTGAAATAGTGTGTTTAGACCATCATTCTGAGTCGAAAATTAGAATTTTCTGCCGGAATATTAAACTTTTTATTCACCGTAGGTATCGCACAAAAGTAATAACTACATGTTTATTCTGTGCAAACACAAGTTGGTTGCCGGAGGGGAGGCCCCACACGCTTCGGCAGTTTAATTAATTACATTGCAGTTGTTGACTGATTGATTGTGATATCATTTTTCATCATTATTAACCCAAAAACGGAAAACTATAAAAAAATGATGTATTTTTCTGCTGCTGAAAATTCCAATGATTTTCGACTTAGAATCATGGTCTGAATACACTATTTCAGCATTCGTTACGACGTCCCCTACACCCTGTATACACAAAATAACTCAGGCTAATACAAAATAGATATATTCAAGTAATCGTGTATAAAGCCCTCAACGCCACATATGTCGCGTGGCGATACGTGGCGCGCGTGTGGTTTGTACGCACTAGTGAAAGCGTCCTTGAAATCGGCGCGTATCTGAGACGCCAGATCTGTGCGGATGGCGTGCACCTGGTCCCGGAGAGAGCTCAGCTCGCGGATCTCGCGGTAACATTCGAAGTGATGCAGTACCTGAATGGGGGAAGTATCATGTAGACTTTTAGAGATTAAGATTGTCGGTAAATGAAGCTTTATTATTAATATCGGGACCACCTATTTGTCTTTATGAGGCTGGGTTTTCAGGGTATAGAAATATATTCTCATTTCATTTTTCGAATTCTTAATTACACTAAATTTTCCTAATTATTCTTAATAAAAATTTTAATACACGACAATTCTTAATTGCAATAGACAGCGCAAAGATTCAGTAACCAGACAAGCTTATAAACATCGTAATATACTTCTAAATACATACATACTACATATAGATTACAATTAGACCAGAACAAATAACAATTATTTCTCTCGGCTGCGAATCGAACTCACGAACTATGGCTTAGCAGCTAGTATTCATCAATCACCATCAACAGCCTTTAATAGTCCATTGCTGGACATAGGCGTCTCCTTAGAAAGGTTTTGGCCTACTATACCACGCTGGACAGACGGGTTGATATAGGGTTTGTGTCAAGATTTCCTTCTCTTTGCAGTGCTGTTGTCCTGCGTAATTTGCGCCCTTAGTCGGCTCTTACGACACCCACGGGATGAATAGGGGTGGTGATACTGCGTATTCTAAATCCGTCACCACACGGTAGCCAGTATTACAATAAACTAACCAATAGAACAACAAGCCAGTCAAAGACACATTTGATATAAAATTGCACATTAAGGAACATAATATTATATCTCTATATACACGGTGATTTTGAAAGCGTTTTGGAAAAGATAATTTTGAGTTATTTATCAGTAACAGAAGCTATATATAACGTTAATTTAATAAAATATATATCTTTTTTATCATCAAAGTCGATATTCATATCGATTACAGAGAAAAGGTGAGAACCAGTAGTAGGGCTTTTCAATCGCAAGTAGGTAAATACTACGAATAGAAATACTATACTCACGCGCAAGGTCAAGGACGTTTAAATTATTATTATACATACCTGGACAATGAGTTTAGTGATCGGTGGATAGGTCGAGGAGGGCCAGTACCTTGGCCACCTAGAAGCCCGGACTTAACGCCCCTGGATTTTTTCTTATGGTCGGAAATAAAAATACTTGTTTGTAAAGCCGTGATAATTTACGCATTGCGATAGTGGACGCTTTTGATAAAGTGAAAAGTGATAGAGACACATTAAGAAAATTAAAAAACAATTGCATTAAACGTGGACGTTTGTGTATTGAATGCAGCGGACTCCATTTTGAGCAGTTGCTTCGATACAGAGAAGTGTAAATAGTGTAAATAGGTATGTAAGTTAATTATTCTGTAGATAGCTCCGATTTTTTTAAATACGCTTGAAATATTTATACCTACAGTCCGTTGATAAATTGATTTGTTGTGAAAAGAACAATCGTGGTTAATAATCGAAAAGAAGTTTAAATAAAATAGGTATTTCCGACGGTCCTAAGCCCGTGTAAAGTATGAAGGACGAATTGGAGTCTATCGCTCGCTATATCGAGTATCTATCTAGTACTCGCTAGCTCGCGCCTATAGGTATAAGTACTTTTATCAGCTGCTGTTAGCGTCAGCGGTGCGCAGCGGCCGCCGAAACGCCCACGGACGTGTTTCATTCATATAAATCAAAAAAAATCAAAATCATTTATTATTTGCATAAAACAGGTATAAAGGTGGTAGAAGAACATCATATAATACATAGGTACGCTGTAATATAACCTCTTAAAGGTGTGCAAATATTTAGTCATAGATATTTAAAAGATTATTATTTAGACGCTCAACATTACAAACACAATTTGAAGAATATATTCATGTCATAAATTTATTCAGAGAATTAATAATGTCAAGAGTATTATGAATGCTATTAAGTCAGATCAATATAATAAAACCAAAAAATAATAATAAAAAAAAAAACAACAATAATAATCAAATAGTCAAAATAATAAAAATAAAAAAAAAATGTCACATTATCATGTTCAACATAAATTAAATAACAATGAACGAAATTAATTTGATTTACAATTTGTCTTGCAGAAAATCATTTACATTATAATAGCATTTTTGGCTCAGAATTTTTTTTAATGTCTGTTTAAAGATAGTCGGATTTGACTCCTTTATATTCCTAGGCAATTTATTATATATTTTTGGAGCCATGGCGAAAACACTGTTATGCATTAGAGCAGTGTTTGATTTACACAGGCATAGCCGGGATTTATCTCTTTGCATTCGGCCGTACGCATCAGAAGACAAAACAAATAAATTAGGATTTAGTTTGGCAAACATAGCTACCTCGAGTATATAAATGGATGGTAGTGTCAAAATATTATATTTTTTATAATAGGGCAGACAGCTGTCGGTTGATTTTAGAGAGAACATCGCCCTCACACAACGTTTCTGTACCTTGAATACTTTATCTTTATGTACAGAGTTACCCCAGAAAATTATACCAAACCTAAGAACTGACGCCACCATACCATGGTATGCAGTCAGAAGTGCATGAGTATTAATTACTTGTGACAATTCATGAAGTGCATACACTGATTTACTGACCCTCTTGCATATTTGTTCTACCTGTTGTTTCCATGTTAACTTATTGTCTATTATTACACCTAGAAATTTTGTGGAATCTACTTCATTTAAAGATTGGCCGTTAGCGCATATCTGTAGGTTTTTAATACTAGGAATACGCTGACTAAAATGCATGAGCATTGTTTTTCCTATGTTAGCTCTTAAATTGTTTACATCTAGCCAGTCGAGAACAGAGTTTAAAGCGTTATTTATATCATCATTATATGTATCCTTATTATTACATTTAATAGTAATTGTACTATCATCTGCAAATAGGGCTATTGGGTTATGGGTTACATTAGGTAGGTCATTAATGTATATTAGGAACAATAATGGTCCCAATACACTACCCTGAGGTACGCCATATTGTATTTTACGTGTTTCAGATTGATAGTATTCTTCTATTTTGGTAACACTATTAATTTTAGAAATTTGAGTATATTGAGTGCGATTTCTAATGTAAAACTCAATCAGGTCTAAGATATTGCCCCTTATGCCATATGAATTTAGCTTACTTAGTAGAGTATCATGACTTACATGATCAAATGCTTGGGTCATATCCATATATATGGAGCAAACAGGTATCTTATTGTCAACATTCTTCATTACAAATACAAGAAAATCATATATGGCCATGTTTATTGATTTATTACCTCTGAAACCCTTCTGTTCTTTCGCCAGAATACAATTCCCTTCAAGGTAATCATTTAGTTCCCCATATATATATTTCTCAAATATCTTAGAGAAAATAGGTACCAGGGCTATAGGTCTATAGTTTTCTATATTGTCTCTATTTCCTTTTTTAAATACAGGTTTTATGATCACTGCTTTCAGTTTGTCAGGGAAAGCTCCAGCTGCTATACATACATTTATAATATGACAAATATGATGAAATATGATCAGTAGTGGACTATTATAAACAAATATAAGATAATGAATGAATGATCAGTCCATTACTACTTTCCAAGTCGATCGAGTAAACATGAATATTAAAACTGAAACTTTTTTTAGACAACATTACAATTGATTTAATCATTTTAATTGGTACTATAGATGATTCCAAATTAAAATGTTTAGTTTCCAAAACGCCTAAAAAATCACCGTGTATTAAAATTTGTGATTATTATATGAATTAAAATTAAACATATATAATGGTATCTAGAATCTAATTTAAGATTGTGATTAATTTAAATAAATAATATTTGCTTCATATATGCAGGATATGGATTTAGGGGATAAACATTTATTTTTGGTCAAAAAGGAGGTTAGAAATACATTTATTTAAAAATTACCTCCATGATGGCTTGCATTGGTAGAACAATCTCCTTGTACTGCCTATTCCGCGTCATCGTCCTCAACTTGTCTACGCCACCCACCAGCATATGCAAGTGGTTGAGCGCTGTGATGGCCGCAGTCAGGTTCGACTTGGCGCAGTCCAACTGCTTTATCTCCGAGGTTATCTCACGGACCATGCTCTCTGAACGTTCTGCTTTCTTGTTTATATCTGCTACCTGAAAAAATAACAGGTGTATGAGTTAAAATCAAAATTGAATGATTCATTTATACTAAGGCTAAAGGCTTTGTCCGTGTGGTGACGGATTAAGAATACGGAATGTCACCACCCCTATTTATCCCGTGGGTGTCGTAAGAGCCGACTAAGGGAGCAAACTACGCAGGACAACAGCACTGCAAAGAGAAGGAAAACTTAACACAGATTCTATACCAACCCGTTTGGCCAGCGTGGTATACTAGGCCAAACCCTCATTTCTAAGGAGAGGCCTATGTCCAGTAGTGGACTATTATAGGCTGTTGATGATGTGATGTGAAGGCTTAAAACGCACATAGCCGTGATGCGGCGTGCCATTGCAGCTCGTTAAACATCGACTTTTATATGAAAAAGCCCCAGCGTCTAGGGGCGGTAGATGATGTACGAAAGTGTTGTTATTCTAAGTTTGAATTGGCTGTCGCATAGCTATCATGAATTTTGACACGGAAAAGTTCATTTTAGAAGTCAAAGAACGCCCCGCTTTGTGGGAAAGCAAATGCGCTAATTATGTAGAGGAACAAATAACTGCAGCAACTTCTTCGACGTCCATGCACATTCTGTGACTGTGCACAAGTCTGAAGCACTGATGGTTTTGGCGCACCGTAGCAGAACCGAGGTTAGCCGGAATGCGGCGTGTCGTTGCGGCTGACCGTATATAATGCAGTTAACCGCAACGCTACGCCATATCACCGCAAGAATTAAATGTGTTTAAATCCTTAAACTTCGTGTTTTCTGGATGGATTGGATGCGGAAGTGAATGCCTACAGTTTACGTTAGAAAGCTGACCTGTCAGCACTAGCTTACGGATAAGAAGTTAGCCTAACATGACAAGTTAGCTGATAAGAGGCGGCCACACTCTGCTGGGATTCTTTACATTATTTCCAGAGTCACAGTCTATTCTAGACCCACTTGTAAGGGAACACTTCATGGTCCTTTTTTTTTTTTTTTCTTTGCGTTTATTTGCGATCAGCCCGAAGGCTATGAGCAAATATGCTGTGTGATGCTGTCGTGCGGAGTAGCTTCCCATTGGAAGCATCTACTCATCTGCTGCCGGCCATCCAGCTCTAGGATATGGTGACGTTTTAGTCGTCTCGCATACTCGTCCATGGTGAGTTGGCGAGCGAGTACGTTAGGGTGACGGGTTAATCGCTCTTTGTATTTAGCTGCCAAACTCCGAATTTCCTCCTTGATTGTTTTCATTTCCAGGTGCTCGTGAACTTCGTTATTGGTTATGCACCATGGTACCTTCGCAATTGATCTTACAATCTTGTTCTGTTGGCGTTGTAGTATATTTAAGTTGGTATCGCTTGCGCTGCCCCACAGTTGCAGACCATATTATTATGTCCAAATGGGCTTTAGGATGACCTTATATATATGGTCCTAGTCCCATCAAATTTGAGAGAATCAGTAGTGAATGTTTCTGACAAAATGTTAGCAAAGTACATACTACACCTGAGTGCTTAATAGTTTAAAAGTTTCCATGGTAGTAATAAGAACTTATATTTTTTTAAGAAAGACCGCAACCTGACAGATTAGGAGCTCATGATATAAATAAGGGTAGTAGTAATTGGTGAGGTGTTGTCGCTGACTACTCTAAAGGAATAAAGTGTGACTGTATGTGTACAAAACATGGTACTGACTTGGAGTGCTAACTCAGCAATACATCTCTGAGCCTCAAGTAATGCATTTTGTCCAGCTTCCCTCTGCTCTGCCTGTGCTCTCACTAGTCTCCTAATGTCGTGCTCTACACCTGCCAAGTGGAATTCACATCTCGAGGCGGCACTCTCCACACCAGATAGTGACTGTTCCGTAGGAAAGACTCGGTTTATGTATGCAACTGCATCAAACTGTAAATAAAAGAAGCATACACATAAATATTATAAAAATAAGTCATTATATAGTAAAAATCATCTTCAAATTTTATAGAAGGCCTTGTTGGCTCTTCTGTAAGGCTCTGTTACATCCCAAAATATTTGTTAATAGTAGTATTACTAGTGTTAAGACACTTAATGTATCTTTAAATTAAATTATGTGTATCTTAAGTAATTTAAAACTGTTTGATACTTATTCCTTCTTAGGTATAAAAGTGTTGTTGTAAGATCCTTTCAAGAGATCTTGAGCAGAGACAAAACAAATTGGTGTATTGTTTATTAGAAGGAGTTGCTACCGATATTCTAATAAGAATATACATACATATAACTAAGGATATTCAACTGAAAACTAGTACACTCTTACACATATTTCTTTTAAAGTTAGTATGTTATGTAGAAAATGTTTTTGGTTCAATGTTTATTTATATATGACAGCTATGTAGCTTATCTTAGGTTCCATATCAGACAACTTAACATTGAGATTTTGACCAAAAGAAGTTCAACTCCAATACATACAGCACCGCTGGAATTCTAACCCATACAGGGCTATATTATTACATAGGGACCTGACATAGCTTCTAAAACGTAGTTACCATATTTTTTGTCCATCCTATAAGTAATGAACATTTTTAAGCTTACAAATAAATAAATAATCATAAATTACGTTGACTTACTTCAGCGCTATCGAACTGCTCAGTACCACCCATCATTTCTTCAATTCTGCTCATTACGGAGCTCGGGAAGTTTATCTGGACCTCAGGCCCATTATCTTTGTCATCTAATATATCGTTGGAATCCATTTCCAGACTTATTTTTAAGCAGAATTAAACAGAAAGAGAAAATAAACACGCAAGTCAAAGTATTAAAAAAGTCACTGTCGTGTTGACATAACTGACATTGCGTGGAGCGATACAAAGTAAAACAATTTCGGAAATATAGCCTCAAATCTACCGATTTTCTTAATTTCTGCACCATTACTGATACTTATATATTGTAGCATTGAAAAAAAATTAAGCTATATTTAAATATTTCATTGGTTAAAAAGATTTGTCAAATCTACAAATATATGTACAAGTTTGGAATCCCCAATATGATATTTATAAGTCACGAATTGAGGGTGTTCAGGTGAAATTTCTCCGATTTCTGAGTTTCAAAGCGCAGCAGTGGTCAAATGATTATGGTCACAGTTGCAGAAGGTTCCATTTTCTACCGCTTGAGCAAAGACGTTGTATCAGTGACATCTGTTATTTAATAAACGTAGCTCAAGGCTCCATCCATTGCCCCGAACTGGTTGCTAAGGTGGAGTTAAGTGTGAATAGAATTGGTTTTCGACAACGACCTCTGTTAAATATACCTTTTGCAACAACGAACTATAGGCGTAATGCTTTTACTCTAAGAAGTGCAAATAGTTTTTAATCAACTTACACGGAATCTCGATATAGACTTGTTTTGCACTAATGTGAACACGATTAGAAGGGTATTAGCTCAATTATTTTTTGAATCTTAAAGTGGCACTCAAACTGTACTACTCTGTTTCTCTATTTGATTTTCTTTTGTTCTTTCTTTATTTATTTTTTAGCACATCTATGTATCGGCATCTCAGTGTGTTAGTATTTGTGGGTGTGTGTATGTATGTGTACACATGGGGGTATGCGCGTGTGTATGTGCTGATACGTGTATATGCATCTATGTGTATATTATTTATGTGTTATGTATATCCCTGCCAAGGCTTACACTTCTCCTCATTTTAAGTCGACAGTTCTCCTTAGAGTACCTATATGCAGAGACTTGTAATTAGCAATAAGATTATTTAATTGTAATTATACAAAATTGTTATATGTCTGTTAGTCTCTCTAAGAATAATTAAATAAATAAATAAATATCCAAGAAATGTTTTGCTGTTATAAAAACTTTAGAAACGAATGTAATTTTTGTGCAAATTGTGATTTCTTCAATTAGTACTTTTATTAAAATAACCCATTTTAATAAAATTACTAATCTAAGAATAGAGTGGCAAAAAGGAATGTTACCTCACGATCTGTAAAGAGAAACGTTAATAAAGAAACTTTTTATCTTTATTGATTGAGGTGAAACAAAACGTGGGTTTGACAGTTTCGTAAATGTTGCATCACAGAAAAAAACGGACATATGATTTTTATAATTCCAGGTTTCCATTGTGAAACGATTTATAGTTTTTTTTAATTCGATTTTATTTGAAGCTGTTGATGCCAAGCGTTTAAATAAATCATCATCTGTCAAAACGTAATAGGTACTTCATGATAAAAAAAACTAGCTATATTAATATTTATCAACATTTTCATTTTCCTAGCAGTTGATTCAAAATTTATAATATTTATCGGTTTGCAATTGCTCTCAATAACAATGTGTGTTAATCAGTAAGTGCTAAAATTAATGTTCCTATGGTTTACTAAATGTTTTTAAATAACCCAGTCATGTCGTAATTCAGTGGAAACGCGCACTACTATCAAAGCTCGACATCAAGTCAAGTGAACGGAAAAGTCGTGCAGGGCAGCATTGTTTTCAGTTATTTGGACGCGCTCGTGGCGAATTGCCGTCGCGTTTACGCCACGATGAGCCTCGCACATACTTGCCGTAAATAACGTACTTGCTGTGTTCGTTTTCTACCAGATTTGTATACAAACATCAGTGGCGGTCTGTGTCTGTGAAGTGATAGAGTAGTGTAATGACCATGGCCCGACTTACGGAGGAAATGGTGATCGCAAGATCCAAGCAGTCGGATCTTACTGCTATTAAGAAGCTCAACTGCTGGTAAGTGCATGAGTCAGACAAAATAGGGACAAAGAAACTTTGCGGTTGAAAAAATAGACTAAGTACCCCTAGTCTTTTCGTTCGTCGTGGTTTGTCGAAATAAATGTGAAATCGCAGTCGGTGCAGCGCACGGAGGCGGAACGTAAACGTATTTGTTTGCGCTAATACGCTACAGTTCATGGACTAAGGTTTTATCGTAATTTAATAGGCTGTATGACGATACCTTTGCCTGCATGCCCTTCATTTTTAAAAACTTTGTAGACACCATGAACATGCTTTTATTCTACAAAGATTAGTCACTTTTTTATCATCCTCCAAATGATGCTACTTAAGCATGCATTTATTATAATGAATGCTGCAATAGTCTTATCAGTATGTTTGTTAATTACTGCATGAAAGTTATATGTATTACTAAAACAGAATCGCACAAAGAAATTGAATAGATTCTAATTGGAATCTTTTTTGACTTAGCTTGTTAGTATTTGAATATAATGGAGTGTTTAATATTCAAAAATATAAGAATTATAGCTTATCTGTAGCTTATATTTGTGCTTTCTTAAACATAATTAGATATAATTAACACTCTTCAATTTAATTAGTAATAAAATGTGGTTGTGTTGAAATAAAAATATTATTTATTAAAATTTTACAGCACCTGATTTGTAAATAGAAGTTTCTGTTACTTTTGACGTCATGATTATTGCTGCCTAATTTGGTTACGAATTAGTCACTGCTAGTCTACCCACATGGAAAATACCGTCGTTCTATGGATACCTTTGACGGTATTTTTATTTATTCTTCAAGGTGGCATTGTAAATAACACTAATTTTAAACTTGTATATATTTTCCCAATCCCTGTAGTTAGTAAATTAACTGAGTCAAAATTAACTATAACCTGGTAAAAGGAATATGGTAAGCCTAGAATCATTTGAGAAAACATACTTTAATATTCATTAGGTATTAGCATAGATAATCAATTATTCAAATTGCATTATAATGAATATTATCGCTGTTTTATTGTTCAAGAGTTATGAGAATTCTTATACATATATATAAAAAAAAAACAACACACTGTCACACCAAAAGTGTCTTTGTCAAATGTAAAATTAAAAAAAAAAAGTTATAAAAATTATTCTTATCTGAATGCATTCAGGTCAGGCCAAGAACATGATAATTGACAATAATGGCAACAATTTTTCACAGGCATAGTGCTGATATTATGATAAACCTAGAAAAGTATAGTGCACTTTAACATGTTCTCCTGATGGCATAGTGGATGTACAGCACCATGAGTCATGTAGTTATTGTATGTTGTCATGTTGACAATTACTGTGATGAACTGATGATTGATGTGTTGTGATGCTCGTCTATGTTTTGTGATGTCAGTGTTGTTTAAGTAAAGGTAAAAATCTTATGACAGTATTAGTTTACATGGCAGGAAAGCCATGGTTAACACATATAATGTATGTTTTTACAAAAAAAAAGTGTAAAAATATTCTATCAGTCAATCTAGCTTTCTGTTGTAACATCACTATGTAATAATGGTTTAATAAATTAATATGTCGCTTTGCTATCATGCGTTGCACTATGGACACACCAGTATGTCAATCATTGTTCTGCTATCTGTAACAATGTTAAGTACGGAACCTGTTTGTAATACACTGATTACATTATATAAGTATTCTATCAGTCAATCTAGCTTTCATAATGCAAGCCCTGCTTAGTTTGAAACTAGATTGGCGTTGGCGGGCTGGTTATACCAGAGTGACACCACTGCCTCTAAGAAAGTGCTTATTCAATCCTTTCATTTCTTTTACGAGTGAAGGAAGTTTTCCGATGTTTACCTTTCCCCTCCACCCCTTGAAATTCGACTCTACAGCGCTGTCACAGCGTCGTATTTTAAACAAAGATAGTTTGAAGTTGACGCTGTGCCAGCGCTGTACGCAAGGCTCTTAGAGAATAGCACTACTGAGACGGACACTCAAAGGCGACAACATACGTACTTTTGAGGTGTAGGCGTCCATTAGCGGCGGCTGTCGCTTATCGTCTGTTTATGTGTCTGTTCGTTTACCAGATAAAAAAAACGAGTGTACTTTAGATCACACGACTGAAGTAAAACTTCTTGGCTATAAGAGGTAGAGAGAAAGAAAATGTGTGCTCACACCTTTCTCTTGCCCCTACAGTACAGTAATTACGAAACGTAACTCTCTTTCTATCTATCTTTACTAACTTATATCTCCCTCTCAACTTCCGTTCGCCTCACCCGATCACACTTTTCGTAACGCTCTCGTCACGCATTCACCAGCTTACTCCTCAAGCATGCGTAAAGAAGTTTTACTTCAAAAACGTAACAGTATACGACTCTGTTTCCGCATTTCGATTTTTAGACGGTCAATGTGCGTTTAGAGTACGCTGAACAAGCCAACCTAGCTACTTCCCGAAGCATAGAACACACTGGCCAAAATAGTTACCCGTTATGGGGCCACTCCTGTGCTCTGCAGAATAACATTGGCAGTTGCTTCGCGCGTTGCACTTCCGTCCATCCTGACCTTAGAGCACCTGTCGCATCAATGTCGACCATTATGAAATATCATGATCATATTAGTGGTGTATAGAAGGTTCAATGAGAGTAGAGGAAGATTATGAGATATGTACAGATAGAATCAAGCAGTGAGCTGTTGTGTTTCTATGTATGTATTGACGATTTTACATAAAATTCCTGCTTCATGGCTATTTCGAACTTGGCTCTACACTTTTCTTAATTGTTCAATGGCTAAATCAGTTATCAGTATCTATTTGCGTGTGTATGTATGTATTTATATACTTTTATACTGTATTTATGTATTATAAAGGTATGTACTAATGTAGATTTGTATATGTCTAAATCAACTGTAACTAAAATGCACCTACTTTCTGTTTTCTCTGCATCACTCAATCGTTGACTGGTAGATAATGCCTTAGGCATTAAGTCCGCCAATGCACCAAATGTGCATGATGGGTAAATAAATAA